AGTGAAGATTAAGAGAACTTATGAGAGGAAATTGTGAGGGGATTCACAAAGGTTGCTCAAAAGTAAGAATTTCTTATTTTTTCTTCAAATTTTCTTCCTACTTGAAGACTTTTGAGAAAAGATTTTCAAAGAAGATCACGGTACTCTGTCGTCACCAGGAGGGTGAGAAAGGATGTTGGTACTCTGCCATCACCAGGCGGGTAAGAAAGGATGTTAGTACTCTACAGTCACTAGGAGGGTGAGAGAGGTTTTTTAAGGGCTTCTCTGTTTTAGTGTGGGAGTAAATGGAGTGTCACTTTTGATTTAGTGTAATATTTGAAGAATGAGTCTTCAGGGAGTGGACGTAGGTCTAGTTGGACTGAACCACTATAAAATTTGGTGTTTCTTTAATTCTTTTATTTTTTACTATGTTTTTTATTATCTGTACTGTTAGTTACTATAGTTGAAAAATATTTTGTAAAAATCTATCATTGTGCTAAATACCTTAATTCGGTTTTCTTAAATCTAAGATATTTTTTAAAATTACCAATTCACCCCCTCTTGGTTAGCATTGGAATAGTTCTGTTAGGTCTAACAACCTACTTGAACTTTCATTTCTGACCCTTGTCTCATGCTAATTGTGGTCCTTCTAACCTCTGTCACCTACTACGGTCCTTCTGACCTCCATTGCTAGGCAACGGTCTTTTTGACCCATGCCTCCATCGCCAACTATGATCCTTCCGACCTTTGTCGCTTACTATGATCCTTCCGACCTCCATTGTCAGACAATAGTCTTTTTGACCCTTATCTCCTGCCAACTATAATCTTTCCGATCTTCGTCGCCTACTATGGTCCTTCTAACGTACATCACCAGACAATAGTCTTTCTGACCCATGTCTACTACCAAAAACGGCCTTCCTCACCAGACTACAGTCTTTTCGACCTCCGTCGCCTGTCGACTATGGTTCTGCCAACTAAATGAATATTTTAATACTAATTCTTCCAATTTATACTATGTAATATGATGTACATGTACTACATCATCCTAAGACCTCACCCCTCCCCCCCCAAGGAAGGACCTCATTTGTAACCGACTACAAATAATAGTGGATTCATTTAAACTAGGCCATGCCCCATGTTTTTCCCCATTTTAAGATGTTTCCACGTAAAAACTCAGGTGCCTCTTATGAATGCTACATCCTCACCTTTTATCTGTTTATGTGTTGGATCTTCGTACAAATCTAATACATTGAATTTTATATTTATCTACCGTCGTGAATATTCCAGAACACAATAGGACTAAAACTAATACTAATTTTGTAAGTTAATTTTATGATAAACTTAAAAGATCCAATTCACACTTAATATAGTTTCACACTTTCAATTTATTAAAAGAGAATGATATTAATGGCTTTAGGAACCACCATTTTTTTTTGGAAACAACCTAATGTAAATCATCTTGTTGGATCTATAACAAGAGCAAGTGCAAAGGCCTAAACTAGCTAAAATTCCATAAACAATGGCGCACTTCAAAGCACATGTTAAGGCCTAATGATTGAGATTTAATCATAATTTTTCTTTTTTCATTTTTTGCTTGCTAAAATTTCTTTGAAATCACGTATGATCATCTATTTAATGAAGGAGCATAAAAAATAAAAATATTTAATAAAAATGTTGGAACTCCTACATTAAATGGCCAACTACTCTCTATTTCCCTAATTTTTTCTTCCAAAATAAGGAAGTTCAAGGGTCATTTTTTTGCTCATAAATAGGAGTTGATATGTAATAAATTTTAATTATTACATGATATATTTTGATGGATAATTAATCTTCATTTGCATGTTGCTTCGTGGCTTGAAAAGTTAGTCTTATCTTTGATGAGAATAGAAGACTATATTTTTATGTTAAGTTTTTTTACTCTTTCTCTCTTATGAACTACTCTTAATCTTTCTCACACCACCTGCTACATCCTATTCATCCTCCAAGATCAACTTCCACTCAACTCAGCCTCATAACCATTCTAAAATTATCTCATATATAGCTTTCAGCCAAACTGAGTAAGACTAAGGCCTAGGTTTATTCCCTAGCTATCAATGCTAATTTTGGCTTCGTTTGGCATAGCTTTCATATTGCTTTATAAAGCAACTTTTTTGGTTAAATTATTTTTCAAAAAGAAAATTTTATGCTAAAAAATTGCTATAAAAAGCATTAACAAAACTGTCCAAAATTAAGCCTTAAACTCAAGCAAACTTTACCATCTACTCCATACCAATAGTCCCCATCATAATGTTTACCATAATTCCCCACGGTTTAGCCTTACTTAAAACCTATTCCTCATAGAGTTAATTCAAATAGGCCCAAACTAGCCATAATTCTATTTTTGTAACTGAAAATTTATTTTGGATAGAGCTGATTTTAGCTTATCCATTAAATTAATATATTTTGGATAATAATAATAATAATAGACTTATCTTTACTTCATTCGTTTAGTTATATAACCTATTTGGAACTAAAATGTCTTTTATATTTATTAAATCTATGCATATTAATTTAAAAGCACAATTAATTGGTATGTATTTTCTGTGGTTTATATTTTTTTTTTCTTAAGTGTACGTATTTATTTGATTTATTCTGTTTCTTTAAAGCATATTAATTTATTGTTTGAGCTTAGGGTTTAGGATTATATTATGGACATTTCTCAAACAAATGTTAGAAAGCATTCTACATTCTCTTAAAAAATTGAAATTATGCCCCTTCAATTGCAATGTCAAAATTTTTAGTTCACTTTAGCGCGCATCATTAAAATTAAAACTCATATTTTTTTGTTGATGTTGGAAGGGACCTTAGGTTTCATTTGGGACAGCTTTCTTACTGCTTTTAAAAATAACTTTTTAGTACAAAATATTTTGAACTATGAATTCATAAAATTTTTGTACTAAAAAGATGTTTTTAAAAAACAATATGAGAGTGATAACACCTGCAAACGTTAGAGACAAAGAAGGTAACAGGCAGTGAATAAGAGAAAGCCTTATATCATCCAGCTTGATACAATGTTTCTTATATAAGCTTGAGAGGAGTTGGTTAGAGAGAGTCAGAGGTAGTTGGTGATAGTCTGTAATGCCAGGCGAAATGGGATTGTGCCCTGAGCCGGATGATGGGTAATGATGAAGATATATCGCAGGTGTATGATACGGTTGTGTTAAGAGCCCCCCTCAAAGTGACTATCGGCTTTGCAGATGGTCAGTTTGGACCTGAGATCAGCGAACCTTGCGGACGGGAGAGCTTTGGTGAGTATGTCTGTCGGTTGATCATTCGAGCTGATGTGGGATACCTTGATGTTTTTGTGTTTGATGTGATCACTTATGAAATGGTGATCAATCTCTATATGTTTGGTCCTAGTATGAAAAACTGGGTTGAAGACGATGTTCCAGCACAGTCCAGATCTCATTGGCGGTGGTTAATTGCAGGATGTAGGGAAGAACAGATGGGGAGATTGTAGAGAACAGAGCATATATCAGATTTTGATCCATGAGTTTCCACTGTCTTATTTCTTTTGCTCCGGTTGCTTCTGGAGGACAGGGATGACTCCCGGTGAGATGTCCTTCAAAACCATTGGCGGCAAAGGCCTGGAAGATTTGCAGACGCCATATGGTGTAGTTTTCTATTGTGAGTTGAGTGTGAACTAGGAGCTTGAGGTTGGACATGAGAAATTTCAGAGTGTGAGGTATGGTAATAGATGCCATTGACGCCGAAGAGGTTTCGGTCGTCTGAGAAGAAGCAGCTTGTTCCATCATGGCTTTGAACGGAGATAGCGAGTCCCAGTGTGGGGCTCTGATACCATGAGAACACCTGCAAACGTTAGAGACAAAGAAGGTAACAGGCAGAGAATAGAGTGAGCTCCATTGAATAAGAGAAAGCCTTATATCATCCAGCTTGATACAGTGGTTCTTATATAAGCTTGAGAGGAGTTGGTTAGAGAGAGTCAGAGGTAGTTGGTGACAGTCTACAATGCCAGGCGAAATGGGATTGTGCCCTGAGCCGGATGATGGGTAATGATGAAGATATACCGCAGGTGTATCATACAGTTGTGTTAACAGAGAGCGATGTCCCAAATGAAGACTAATGTTGTATTTGGGACAGCTTTCTTATTGTTTTTTAAAGAAAACAGTAAGAAAGCTATCTCAAGCGAAAAATAAATTAGAAAAAAATTAGAACCCATATTTTCTATTTATTTTGGAAGGGACGATGTTGGAGGATTGCTTGAATTAAAATTTCGAACTTAGAACTTTTAGAAGCAAGGAGTTGTTACCCATCAATCGAGTAAGGAGACCGCCAAAAAAATTACGTGGAGTGAGAGATTTGACTTACAATATTTTCAAACCGTGAATGTAAAGGATTATATCATATTTCAATATAAGGATATTAATTTGCATTTAAAAATGATTTTGAGTATATTTTTCTCAATAAAAATAGTAGAAAGGGGTATTTGCTACGTAAATTATGAGATATGAAATTTCAAATTTCTCTAAAAATTTCTAAAAGAAAACTCAAAATTTCTCTCCAAATTTCTTAAAAGTATTTTTTTTCTTAAGGGTGAATGAAAGTTTTTGCATTGCAATTTACATTTAGGGTGTATAAGTGATCAAGAAAAACCGATTAAACCATTTTTTTTAATTTTAAATGAAATAAAAATAATTTAGAGAGATATAATTATGGAACAATAATTATAACGTCTCATACAACAGTAACAACAACAAACGCTTCTAGACGTTAAAGAGAAATCCTCGTTTCTCTCTCTTCTATGTCTCTCATGCATTTATGGCTCTTACATCTTACTTTCTGTTAAAATACAAAGCCATTTCCCCACAATTGAATTGAAATAAACTCTCCTGAAATAGATTGTAACGTACTCCACAGCTTCCTCTTCCTTATATAAATCCTTCTGATCCTCTTCTCCACCATCTCCTCATCACAGCTGAAGCACCCATACTACTTTCTTCAATATCCCACTCACATATTCCATGGCAAATCACTCTTCAGCAGCTTTTGCCATCCTCCTCCTCCTGGCTGCAGCAATGGCGACTCCTCAAAAAGCTTCCTCCTTGCCCTTAGATGTAAGCAGCGTCTTGAGATGCTGGGAAGCCCTCTCCTACTTCGACGGCTGTTTCCCCAAGGTGGTGGTGCCGGCGGCCCTCAACGTCCAGCTGAAGCTGACGATAGAGTGCTGCAGAGCATTGGAAGAGATAAGAGAGAACTGTTTCCCAAGCATTTACAGTCCCATCTTCTCCTTTGCTCCGAAGTTGGGTTCTGTGTTCCTACAAATTTGTGGAGATCAATCCGCACCTGCGCCGCAGCCTGCAACCATTGATTAGTTATTGCTTGATTATAAGAAGCACGCATTCATCTTTTCTTCTCAAGTTTGTCTTTGTTTGCTATATGTTTTGAATAACAAATGAGTTCTGATAAAGCGGATCAGTGCTTCTGAAAGTGCTTTGATCGAGTTTTGATCCGATTTTAGTCTTCGATGTAATAGTATGGTTGGTTTATAAATTGAAAGAAAAGCTGATTATGATGAATTAGGCTGGAACTTAGGTTTCGTTTGGGACGGCTTTTCTACTATTTTTTAAAACAGTTTCTTAGTACAAAAATTAAAATTTTTTATTTTTGTACTAAAAGCAACTTCTTAATTTTTTACTAGGAATCTGCTTTAAGAAGCAATAAGAAAACCGACTCAAACGAAGCCTTAATCAACTAGGGATGATATCTACAATTTCTATCCAGTTAAGCTTCATTTATGACAGCTTTTTTGATGCTTCTTAAAGTTGTTTTCTAATACAAAAATTTAAAATTTTGAACTAGAAAGCTGATTTAAAATGTAGTGAGAAAGCCATCCTAAACAGAGCTTTAGTTTCAATTAAATATCAATATTTCTATTTCAACCGAAATCAAATTTGAGTTGAGCAAAAATGATGAATTTGTAACCTTTTTTGTGCGTTTTGGCTACTTAAAATAAATTCATACATGCAACACATATGCAACTTTCGAACTCAATATTTTTTGATTGGTAGTTAAAGCTCCCAAACAATAGATCAAGATAAATTGGGTAAGAATTTCTAGCTAAATTTCAAGATAATTTGAATATAAGGACCCAACTTTTTTCGTAGTGTACATAACAGTAGGAACCGTCCAAAGAAAAGTATTTAGAGGATTCATCTCTCTATTTCTCTTTTATAGGCAAAACTATAAGGACGAAAGAAATTTAAGTGAAAGAATTTAATATTAGAATATCAACATAAAAATTTGATCAACATGAATTCTAAAGGACTATATAACGTGCATTGGGATGAGTGTAGTATATTAATAATTTGAATTTCACTCATCTTAAAGTAATTGAAGAGCTTTATGACGATTCTTGATAGAAAAATTGAACATAATATCATGCAATATAATTGTTGCATCCTGGAATTTTCGTGGCATTAGAGAAACATAAAGTTTTACGTCTTAGATTTGTACGAAGATCTTGCACACAATTATATAAAAGAAAGTGTAGCGTTTATAAGAGACACCAATATTTTTATAACATGGAAACTCTTGAAAAGGGGAAAAATCATGGGGTTTAGCCTAATTTGAATGAATTCACTAATGTTTGTAGTCCATTACAAATGAGGATCTTCTTTGAGGGAAGGCCTTGGTTTGATGTATCAAATATACATCACATAGAGTGCATTACATGGTGAAAGTGGAAGAATCATATAATTGATATGTTTGTTTGGTCGGCTAGTGATAAAGGTCAAAAAAGTCATATTCGGGTGATGGTGGTCGGAAGGACCGTAGTCGCGCTACAGAAAATTCATCAATTACCGGCGGTCTAGACCGGCGGTTCTTCAACCGTCGGTAATAACAGCGGCTTAACCGGCGGTTTGACCGCCGATTTTTACCGGCGGTTATGTAAATTAAAGCCACCAGAAATAGCGGTGGTTCAGAAACCGCATGTTAACCTACCGGCATTAAATCTTACCGGCGTGTTATCGGCCGCTTGAACCGCTGGTGTTAAGTAAATTATTTCCGGCGGTCCAAACCGTCGGAAAGCCGCCGAAAAATGCCCTAGAATATAATAAGCCGTCCCGAGCCTTCCATTTCATTTCATCGCCTGCTCCTCTCTCTCATGTACGTCACTCTCCCCCATCTCCTCCACCCTCTCGCGATCGAGATGCTCCCTCCGGCCACCGAAAAGGTCCTCCAAACGAAGATCTCATCCCCACTACAAGGCCTAAGATCTCTATCCCGCTCCCCACTTGTGCGCGAAACCGACCTCCGAAATTTGCGATTTTAGATTTTTTTTTTTAATTTTGAAGTAGTTTTTGATTTTGTATAATGTCAAAAGGAATTCAGTAACATTAAAGTTATTTTTTGATTTTTTTAAAATTTTGAAGTTGTTTTTGAGATAGGATACGAAAATAACATATACGTGATAAGGTTGGAGTAGCTCCAGTGGAAGATAAGATTAGAGAGAGTCGCTTTAGATGGTTTGGTCACATTAAAAGGAGGCCTTCTAATGACCCGATAAGGAAAGTTGAGGTATTAGATTTGACTTATGTAAAGAAAGGTTGAGGTAGACCTAAACATCCTCATCTCTACAACACTTAACTTAGTATTATGCTTCTCTTTTAATGGCCAACATTTGGCACCATAAAATTTTGATGTCATTTTTTCTTGGGTGGATGAGTGGCTTGACCCTTAGATATAGGATACAAATTGAAATGAGCATATACGTGATAAGGTTGGAGTAGCTTCAGTGGAAGATAAGATTAGAGGGAGTCGCTTTAGATGGTTTGGTCACATTAAACGGAGGCCTTCTAATGACCTGCTAAGGAAAGTTGAGGTATTAGATTTATCTTACATTAAGAAAGGTAGAGGTAGACCTAAGCATCCTCATCTCTGTAACACTTAACTTAGTATTAAGCTTCTCTTTTAATGGCCAACATTCAGCACCATAAAATTTTGAAGTTGTTTTTGCTTGGGTGGATGAGTGGCTTGACCCTTAGAGATAGGATACAAAATGAGCATATATGTGATAAGGTTGAAGTAGCTCCAGTGGAAGATAAGATTAGAGAGAGCCGCTTTAGATGGTTTGGTCACATTAAACGGAGGCCTTCCAATGACTCGGTAAGGAAAGTTGAGGTATTATACTTGACTAATGTTAAGAAAGGTAGAGGTAGACCTAAGCATTTTCATCTCTGCAACACTTAACTTAGTATTATGATTCTCTTTTAATGGCCAACATTCAGCACCATAAAATTTTGAAGTCATTTTTGCTTGGGTGGATGAGTGGCTTGACCCTTAGATATAGGATACGAATTGAAATGAGCATATACGTGATAAGGTTGGAGTAGTTCCAGTGGAAGATAAGATTAGAGAGAGTTGCTTTAGATGGTTTGGTCACATTAAATGGAGGCCTTCTAATGACCCGGTAAGGAAAGTTGAGTGTTAATCCTAATAGACCTAGATAGCCTGATGAAAGTGAGGGAGAGAGAGTTGTTCCACTAGTTATACCATCATTACCACCACCTAGGAGTCTGCAGTAGTCCCCTAGTGAGCAGGGTCAGGGTCAGTCACATCCACCAATTGTTATACTACCACCCTTTCTTGGGTACTTCCCTCCTCCATCGATGAGTCCTCACTTTCCCTCTCAAGATCAGGCACGTATAGCTCCATTCTATCCATATTACCCCCCACCATCATCTCAAGCTACAGGTTCATCCACTGTCTCTTACCCTCCTTACCCCCTCCTATATTATTACCCATATCCGGTGTAGCCAGAACACGGTGGAACATCTAGACCAGCAGAGGTTGATGCTCGGGATCATATAGCTACAGCAGATAAGCATCAATATATTGAGCATGAGGGCGATAAGTAAGTTCAGTTTATGTTGTTAAGTTTCTTATATTTTGATATGTTATATGTTATTTGACAAAAAATTAACCTGCAGCTTCAATTCTAAAAGGCGACCTACTCATAACTTTTGGGATATTATAAAGAACAAATATGATGCTCCTTATTTATAATGAAGAAGATCCCAAAGGAAATTAGGGATATGTGGTTTGGAGAATTTCAGGTATATTTATTTTGCATGAATTTAAATATTTGATTTAATTTATATTAATATTTTTTATTATGCATATATTTTTTATAGAAAGAATTTAGGTGGTTGCCTGAGCATAACACGAGAATCAGAATAAATTTTGAGAGGAGAGGAGTGACCCATCTTAGGGACATATTCACGGACATTAGAAAGTCTGGGCATGAGCGTCTAATATGGATTTGAGAGGGCGTATGGGCAAATCTGAGCATAGCTTGGGTGACCCCTGAGTTCACAAAAATAAGAGAGCAAAATAAGTAGAACAAAGAATCTAACTGTGGGGGTTTAGAAAGCTCTCTTCATACTTGGATCTGTTCCTCATACGGAATATATATGACTAGTAAAAGCTTTAAATTAGTTTATTAAATATATTTATGTTATTGTAACTATATCTTATATTTTTAGAAAGAGTTTCTTGGTCGGGAGCCAATATCGTTGGAGTTGCATACGATAACTCACCAACATCAAGCTAACCATCAATGGGTTGATGAAAATGCTAAAAAGGCTCATGTGACTATAATTTTTTAGAGTTTGGGAAGAAAAATGTATTATAATAAAACTTATTCTAATATCAATATATTTTACAAATTTATTCTCGCAGGATGATTTTATATAAGCTCAAGAAAGTCGTTAGTCTACTGGTGAGGGATCATCTTCAGGATCGACCTAGAGTTTTGAGTATCATATATGGTTAGATGTTGTTAGATGAAGGCAGAGGGGAGGGTATATGTCTTTGGTTTGCAAGGCTATGCTTATGAGGGATGTTCATCCACCTCAGTATTTTATGATCCTAGTGGAGCTGAAAAAAGTGTAAACCAGAGGGTTGTAGTGCTGACAAGAGAGATAAAAGATATGAGAAATGTTCAAAATGAGATACAGGTAGAGCTGCGATCCTATAGAGATGAAAATCAAAAGAAGAAAGAGCAAGAAGTAACATGCATCACCAAACAACGAGGATATGGAGGAGGATTAGTACTCTTTTTTGTTCGTGAACTTATGATGAACTTATTGTAAACTTATTTGGTTATGAATTTATTTGGTTTCACTTATTGAACTTAGTTATGAACTTATTTAGTTAATCTTATGAACTTAGTTATGAACTTATTTGGTTTCACTTATTGATTTGTTTTAATGAATTTATTTGTAATAATTATTGTGATTGACTATAGTGGTGTGTTACCCAAATTTGTGAAAATTACTATATTTTCTGTGCAGGTTTAGATTTTACGGTG